TCGGTTTTTTGGTAAGAGACCATCAGGGCTTGACAGTATAATGGTTCAAAGACAAGAAAACGGGTCCGAGGAAAAAAATATTTGGACGGCCCGTTGAATAGCATTGGTTGATCGGTGTGCTGTACTATGGTACATCCGAGTGATTTCAAAAAGCGAGCCCTACTGGCACGCTTAAAAGTCGAAAACCTGAAACCTATATGATAGTGGCCAAAATTCGAGGACATCAACAGGGTCGGACTGACGCACCTCTGAGGGCGCAGACCCTTAGCCGGCGAAGGGGGCGCAATGTGATATTTTGCTCAGGAGTATGCGGGAACACAAATTTTCAAATGTTTAAACAAAGTGGGAACAATGAATATCAGGGCCGGATTAAGGGGGTGGCCACATGGGCCGCGGCCCATGGCGGCAAATTTTGAAATTTTTTTAAATGAAGATATAAAGAAATGGGATTCAAAAAAAAAAATTATCAATGAGAAAAGGGGACAAAATCTCCCTTTCCTAAGAGTATAGTAATTTCTAATTTTGTTGTTTTTCGGTGATACGAGAGACAGCATCTTTAATTAGTCTAATTAAGAGAGGGACTAAACACGCAATTTGGCCTGGTGCTCAGCGCAGAGAGAAATGATGACGAGGACTTGAGATGAAAAGGAGAAGCCCTCGGCGCGGCGGTCGGCATGTAACACATATTAGCGCCTACAAGATTGCATGAATACTTCACGCATTGCGTCAGACACAGTGCGGTCAGCAGCGGTCGGCGCGGCGTGGAACGCATAGCGCCTCCAAGACTGTAGGAATACTTCACGCATTGCGTCAGACACAGTGCGGTCAGCAGCGGTCGGCGCGGCGTGGAACGCATAGCGCCTCCAAGACTGTAGGAATACTTCCCGCATTGCGCCAAATACAGTTCGGTCAGCGCGGAGCGGCGGCGGGAGTTAAAATTATTGAACCACATTTATGTTTGTTCTTTCTTAATTTTTTCGTTCAATGCTTATAAATGGAAGGCCTTGTCCACAAAGAGATAGGTTTACGGTACTTAAATTTCGCGCAGTTTCGTGAACTTTCGCTAGTAGTGCTGACAGGGCTTTCGCAAAAAAAATTTGTCTAACACGAGTAAACGTGTTTTATGCACCTCGCTACCTCCGGCACGTTCACTTGATGGTTTTATTGATGTTTCAAAACGAATGAGAAGGGGGCGGCAAAATACAGGCGGCCCATGGGCGGCAACTAGGTAAATCCGGCCCTGATTAATATACATACTTCATAGCTAAAGAAAAGAAAAATGAGACAAGGGGACAGAATACAGAATACACTTTCCTCTATAACTCCTATTAAAGCTTCTCTAGTTTACTTATAATTTTTAGGCATTTTTTCTTTACTTATTATCTTTTCTCATTGCATTTTATTTATTATTATTTTCTTTTTTTCTTCTTCTTTTTTCCTTTTTTTCTTTTCTTTCTTTTCTCCTTTTCTTCATTTTCTTCATTATCATTCTAGCAGCCGGAAGAGGGGCGCATCTGCCAATGGCAGATTAGCCTTATGGTCAGTCCGACCCTGGACATCAAGAATACAACGTGTTAATAAAGCTCTCGTTCTAAGAATTAACAAAGCCAGGCATTATCACTTATCAAGGTACATTTCAGAGACTCAAACGCACGGATAGAAAAGTGAACCAAAGACGGAAAGAGGAAAGGACGCATATAAAGGGCCTCTACTGGCCCCAAAATTCGAATGGTTCAAATAGTTTTGTACTCAAGGAATGTCATACATTTTCATAAATTTTTCCATGAATCCTCGAGATTTATCAAAAAGTAAAAGCAGTATAGGGTTCTTCAAATTTTCCACGGTTACCTGAATAAACCTTCAACAAAAAAAATTACTTTTCTTCATGATTCTTTTAAACAATTTTTTAATCACATTTTAAGTCCTAAGAAACTGCAGTAGACAAGAGATTTATGAGACTTATTAATTGAATTTTACTGCCCGTTCATTTTTCTTAAACAATTTGTACCGAAAATATATTTCTTTTCACTTAAATTTTGGTCATTCCCCGAGAGCGGTTTTGATACAATTTGCGAGTTTCTCAAAATTCATTTTAACCTTAGTTGCTCTCCGGATACCTCTCAAACACTCGGCCAGGATTTTGTTTCGGGGGATTCATAAACGCAGATTGAGGGGGGGGGGGTCGTCGGAGCGTCTTTTTCTTCCTACTTTTCATCCCGGTTTTTTGTTTCCTCGGCGCATAGTGGATCGAGTAAATAAGAGAGGTCGAACTTGAAATTGTTGACTAAAACTGTAAATTATGATGATTATTTCGTCACATTCTAAATTTTAAGGGGTGCTTGTCGAAGAAAAGAGGGTTATTCATATAGGCGAAAAATGTACCCAGCCCGGAATGTACGAAACTTTGTGGGCTGATAGTACTAGTTGTGAGAGAGGCTTATCCCTAGCTCTGTTTTTGCAGGAACCCCAGGGAAACAGCGTTGCCATTTTTTAAAGTCGTAACCTTCAAACATCCATAACTTTCGCAGAAATGCAGGTACAGAGCTCGTATTTATACCAAAAGATGCAAAAAATTACGTTCTATCGACTTATGCCAAAGACATTTTAATTTGACTCCGTCGTTGCCACGTTTTGGCCATTTTTTTAATTTTCGTGATTATTTAAAATCACGTTACCGCCTAAAAAAGTGTTTGCGGTTGGTGGGGATTGAATAAAAACATGTCAGAATTATTGTTCGTTTGATTCTGCATCCATCGATATATTATAATTTGCTGAGAGACTTAGGGAACACGAGTTATAGCGATTTGAAAATTCGGCAACACGCCCGATACCCCGATATTGACGCTCGTTTAGGTACGTTTTGCAACTCCGTGTTAAAGCAAAACGCCTAGACCAAACAAAATTCGAAAAGTCAGTTCATGTTTTGCGCTTTTTTGAAACTTTCACATGATTTTTAGGAATT